CCAGTGCTCCCAGTCCCCTCCCCAGTGACCCCATGACCCCTTATCCCCCTCCCAGTGCTCCCAGTCCCCTCCCTAATGCCTCCACATCCGTGTGTCCCCTTCCCCCCAGATCCCTTTGTCCCCTTCCCAGTGCTCCCAGTCCCCTCCCCATTGCCTCCAGTTCCCTTTGTGCCCCTCCCAGTGCTCCCAGTCCCCTCCCCAGTGACCCCATGACCCCTTATCCCCCTCCCAGTGCTCCCAGTCCCCTCCCTAATGCCTCCACATCCGTGTGTCCCCTTCCCAGTGCTTTCAGTCCCCTCCCCAGTGTCCCCATGTCCCTTTGTCCCCTTCCCAGTGCTCCCAGTCCCCTCCCCAGTGCCCCCACTCACTCCTCTGTCCCCACAGCTCACCTTGGCCGATGGCACAGTGACCGCTGACCATGTGGTCAGTGCCCTCCCAGCTGCAGGTAGGACTGTGGGACCAGGACCCCCGTGTCCCCCCGGGGTGGGGAGGCCACCAGTGTCCCCCTAATGTCCCCTCACTGTCCCCCAGCCCTGGCAGAGGCACTGCCACCCGAGGCTGAGCCGCTGGCCCAGGAGCTCCGACGCATCCCCAGTGCCACCGTGGCCGTGGTCAACCTGCAGTACGAGGGGGTCACGCTGCCTGTCACGGTGAGAAGTGTCCCCTGCCACCCCCAAGGGTGTCCCCAAATCCCAGGAGTGACCTCACCCTGCCCTTTCCTCAGGGCTTTGGGCACTTGGTACCCTCCTCGGAGGATCCCGCGCTCCTGGGCATCGTCTACGACTCGGTGGCATTCCCCGAGCACAACGGCTCGGGGTCACCCTCAGTGAGGCTCACGGTGGGTGACAGGGACAGGGGGAGCTCGGGGACGATTTTGGGGTGCTGATGGTGTCCCCCAGGTGATGTTGGGAGGCGCCTGGTTCCGGCAGAGCTTCGGGGACCCCGTGGCAGTGCCCCCCGAGCTGCTGCTGCGGCGAGCGCAGGAGGCCGTGAGGGATCAGCTGGGCCTGGAGGGGACCCCAACCCGCTCCATGGTCAGGGTGCAGCAGGTGGGTGACACTTTTTGGGGGGGTGTCAGTGGGTTGACCTGGATTTGGTCAATGGTTGTTGAGCTTAGTCAATAGGTTAACCCGAATTTGGTCAATGAGCTGAACTTATCAATGGGCTGACCTAGACTTGGTCAATGGTTGAACTTGGTCAACAGGTTGACCTGGACATGGTCAGTGAGTTGAACTTGATCAATGGGTTGACCTGAATTTGGTCAATGAATTGAGCTTGATCAATGGGTTGAACTTGATCAATGGGTTGACCTGGATCAATAGGTTGACCTGGGCCTGGTCAATGGGTTGGACTTGGTCAATGGGTTGAACTGGATCAATAGGTTGACCTGGGCCTGGTCAATGGGTTGGACTTGGTCAATGGGTTGAACTGGATCAATAGGTTGACCTGGGCCTGGTCAATGGGTTGGACTTGGTCAATGGGTTGAACTGGATCAATAGGTTGACCTGGGCCTGGTCAATGGGTTGGACTTGGTCAATGGGTTGAACTGGATCAATAGGTTGACCTGGGCCTGGTCAATGGGTTGGACTTGGTCAATGGGTTGAACTGGATCAATAGGTTGACCTGGGCCTGGTCAATGGGTTGGACTTGGTCAATGGGTTGAACTGGATCAATAGGTTGACCTGGGCCTGGTCAATGGGTTGGACTTGGTCAATGGGTTGAACTGGATCAATAGGTTGACCTGGGCCTGGTCAATGGGTTGGACTTGGTCAATGGGTTGAACTGGATCAATAGGTTGACCTGGGCCTGGTCAATGGGTTGGACTTGGTCAATGGGTTGAACTGGATCAATAGGTTGACCTGGGCCTGGTCAATGGGTTGGACTTGGTCAATGGGTTGAACTGGATCAATAGGTTGACCTGGGCCTGGTCAATGGGTTGGACTTGGTCAATGGGTTGAACTGGATCAATAGGTTGACCTGGGCCTGGTCAATGGGTTGGACTTGGTCAATGGGTTGAACTTGGTCAATGAGTTGAACTTAAGTCAATAGGTTAACCTGAATTTGGTCAATGAGTTGAGCTTGATCAATGGGTTGAACTGGATCAATGGGTTGACCTGGACTTGGTCAATGGGTTGAACTGGATCAATGGGTTGACCTGGGCCTGATCAATGGGTTGGACATGGTCAATGGGCTGGGATAGAGACTTGCCAGGGACCCCCCAGGACTCACCTGTGCCCTCCTTTCCTCCCCCAGAACTGCATCCCCCAGTACACCCTGGGCCACTGGCAGCGCATAGGTAAGAGGGGCACTCTGGGGGGTACCCCGTGGGGGTTCCCCAGACTTTTGGGGGTCCCTTACCCCCCACATCCCATCCCTGTCCCCCCCAGAACGGATCAACCAGTTCCTGAAGGAGAAGGAGCTGCCTCTGAGCCTGATTGGGGCATCCTACAACGGTGTCTCCGTCAACGATTGCATCGCCAGTGCCAAGGCAGCCGTGGGGCAACTCTTGGGGTCACCCCCCTGAACCCCAACCCCCCCCCCAGGGGGGTCCCCATGGCTCCTGTGCCCTCCCCCAAATCCTGTGGCTGTAGGACAAAGTGATTTTTTTATATTGAAAAAACCATTAGAAAGGTCCAGGGAGCTGCTCATAAATACAATAAATACCCACGCGCCCATCTTGGGGACCCC